GCTCTATTCAGGGCGCTGCATCTTGTAAGATTTGAAGTATCGTGTAATTTTTAATCAACAAAGCAAACCCCGATCGCGTGGCCTAATGGATAAGGCGCTCGCCTCCGGAGCGGGAGATTGTGGGTTCGAGTCCCATCGCGATCGTAAATGGCTGCGGTCCTTTTTTTTCAACATGGAACTCGTTAAAAAGTGAAGAGCAAAGCCATTCCTGTTGAAAAGCACTTTCAAGAACTTGTGATTATGGTAAGGTTACATTTACAAACTGCCAAAGAGCTTGTAAGTTTTAATGAGACACACTTTCGGCACAAATCCATTTGTGCGGTTGTGAACACTCATCATTTGGCTAGTAGTTTGTAGAATTTAGTGGGATGAATACATTCGAAAGTGTTCGTTTCATGATGATCAGATAAGAATCATAGCGGGGTCAGCATAGATTCAAGAGAAAGGATGACTTCCATTGAATTGAGTGTCGAGATAATCAAATGAAGGCTTCATTAAACTAATTTCCACTTGTACATGTAATTCAATTCTCTGGTAGAGGGGTTCAGAAGAAAAATTAATACTCTTTCGAGCAAGAAATCAGAACAGGACACATCTAACGGCCAAGCAAAGGTGAACATTAAATATAAAAATCAAAGGAAGAGATACCAGAAAGTCATTTTGCATTATCTTTTGAATAAGAAAATGGGTATTGGAGCAGATGGTCGGTTTAACATCTGGAGCTTACAGCAGATCCAATCCTCAGGAGACAGTCTAGCAGCAAAAGCTTCAATACTTTCCAATTCTTCCCTGTACAAGGAGAACATAAAATATGAGACTTCAAAAACCCGCGACTATTATCAGTTCAACCAGCAGTGAAAGTCCCAAGTTAGTATTCAATTATTCTAAGAGAATATCGCAAAATAATAGATTTATTATATCCTGAATTTGAGAGATTGTTCACTTTTCAACATCAATATTACATCAGAACCGACTCTTGTGTCATCTTCATCTCCACCTAACTCATCACTATTTATCTGACTAGACGAGCGGGGATGCAAAACATACTTAATTTGGTACGTTTGGTTATGCTACTGGGGAGGGAATCTCCTTTTGTCGCACAAAAGAGGAAATATGCAATACCTATCTCCATCATCATCATTTAAGTAACAGTCCTCTTTGTTTAGGAGCACACAAAACATTTTTTCTTCTCATTCCATTTCGTTTTGAGTATCAAACAGAAAGGTTACCGCTAGATGGTGATAGGAGGCGTTGGAAGTCACGTGTTCAGGCTTATTTTGCCTTTTTATTTACCAAAGGCAACACGAAGTAAGGTAAGAAAAACTGGTCAAACCATAATCAGTGCACTGTTATTCGGTGAGTATTACCCTTTATTTTAGTCAATCATTGAAAATAAATTGTTCATGGAAAAAAAAAAACAAAAAGGAGAATTTTTTTCAAGAAAATATGAGAATGAACACGCTAGAAACTATTAAATATGTCTTCATCAAACCGATTGATGAAGTCAGGAGACTTCACTGAGGCCCCGATGATGTGAACATTCATATATAACGATAATGAAAGCAATTTAAAATATTCGGCCAAAAAAAAACATTTATTAATAGAGGCTAGCAAGTATGGAATATCACCATCCTCCGGGGTGCCCCACATAAACCACTAAGCTGATAAGCCCTCCGGGCATTAAAATTCTTTTAGCAGCTTCTAGTGCCTGTAATGTTGTCTCCGATCTTGTTACTATTTCTTTGTCACCACCAGGAAGATAACCTAAGTTGAAAGCAACAAGCCTCTAAAATATCCAGCACATAAGATAGTGCTTAAACCTTGAATATGTACAAAAACATGAATAAATGCTATCTCATCATGATAATTATATGAGCATCTACAACTTAATATAAACAAATGTGGAAACAATAATCAAGATCATAGTCCATTGTTTAGGTTATTCCAGGATCAACCAAGCAACAAATAAGATAATAAAAATCAGAGTTACGAATAAACCAAATAAGTTGTCCAGAGTTTTTTGCTGAATTGTCAATATCAAACCAATTGATAGGAAAGAGAGATAAGGGCATGCAGAAACTCAAGAGAAGAGAGTACCTAACGGAGGCATGGCTTGGAATAACTTCCTCCATTTTACTATGGCAGACGTTGAAGAGCTTGATAAGTTGTTTCTGCATATATTTTTCAGTTATTGGTGGGAAAGGGTGACACCAAAGTTCATAGTTTGTTTTTTATAATTAAAATGCCGAAATATAAGGCTCTGCTCAAGGCCTCTTACAAACCAAAAGTATATGAACAGCCAGATAAACAAATAATTAATAAGGCAATAATTCAAGGATAAAGAAGTTAGGTTATTTCAGGATTAAAAAAAATTAGGTCCGTGAATATCAAATAAATAATAGTTTCCAATCTATACTAATTTAGTGATGAAGTTCTACATTCAACTTTAGTCCTCACCTCGGTTGGATTAAGGGACTCGTCCAGCAAGGAGGAAGTCATATCCAAAGCACCTTTCTGAATGTCCAATGCATAAACCAAACCCTTATGTGAATTATCAGCAACCAATTTGAGCATTGCTAAGGTGTCATAACCATTACCACAGGTGGCATCAACAACTGTATCCCCTTTCTGGACAACATGCCTCCATACCCTGGTGGTAACAATACTTACATCAAAGCCAAACCAATCCATCACAAGGCATGTTGAAAATATGGAATGAGTAATAAAGCATGCATAAAATAGCCAGTAAAAGATTAAAAAATATACGTTGAACGGTTACCATCAATAGAGGTAAAAACTGGAAAGCTTCGTTGAGTTGGTATATAATTACATTTAACCCAACCAAAGCGCAAGGTAATCAACTGATGTATAAAGCACAAGCCCTTCATGATGCATTAAACAGAACTTTGCCATAAATGCATAAGATATGGGTGAACTCGAAGCATTGTAGCTTCAATATCTTACCCTTCTCCCTTCTACCATGTCATGGTTTTTCCATAACCAAAAGTAAGAGAGTCATTCAGGCAACAGAATTGAAACTAGGTAGAGAATCATTCTAACGAAGCAATTGGTCATTACTCATTCAGGTGTGACCGTGTGAGTCCCATAATTAATCCCCTGACTACTAACCAAGTTAGTCAAAAGCGATACTCCAAAATCTAGCCATACCGTGTTTGACTCTCTAATCAAACGCAAAACCATACTTCAAACTGCACCTAGACAAAACACTTCAAAGCAATATAGGCAGGAATTTGGAAAACTCTTCAAGATAGCAATAGGAGAAAAGAAAGAAATCACTAAGTGCGTACATGTGAGCAACGTCCGTGGCCCTCTTCTTGCCAAAGAGATAGCCCGCCAAAGCATCCTCCATTCCTGAAAATGGGCATTTGCAGAAAATTACACACACCGATTAGGGTCAATCCTATAAGAGAAATCACGCTGAACCCTCGATTGACGGATATTGCGTACCAGAAAGGGTAGAATGTCTGGGGAGCGAAGAAGATTGGAAATGTGCTCCATTTTGTTGATTCGACTTCACACAAGAACAGAATTTCCTGGAGCTCCTGCGCGAAGTGTGTCTTCGAGAAAGATCAAAGAATCCACACGAAGATCTTGTTTTGGGTCTCTGAATTGCGATTGAACCTGACCAGAATCTCAGTAACGACATCAATTGTAGTTGAACAAGCCACTACAGTGCTACTATTGTCTGCGCCGCAAATCTCGTTAACCGGATTAACAAAAATTTTTGCCTCAACCGACAAAATTCCAATAATCACAATAAGATGAAAAAACACAATAAAACGCGCTTGCATACTACTCTTCCGGTCCTTAATATAGGACCCAATTAGTGAGTTGGTTTTGGTCCTAAATATAAGACCAATTTCTCATATTTATCAATTATCTCTAAATTACCCCTATGGATACTCTTTCAACCATAATAAAGTAGAAGAGAAAAATCATATTAAGAAATATGATTATGGTATTTTAGGAAAAACATGTCATATTTCTTATAATTAACTAACTTACCTAATTTCCTTAATCTAATCAAATTAGTTAAATGGATCTTATATTAAGGACCGGAGGAGTATATTACTCCTCCAAGGGGAGAGAAAAGATATTTTTTTTGGGTAATTTTATCTACCATTTATTATTGTATTTACTTTGTTTAGGTATATTATATATTAAATAAGGATAAAATTAAAAAGTTTATTGAATTTTAAATGAACGTTAATAAATTTAAGATTTCCTTTGATTTGTGTGAAATATATTAGAAGTGACTTATATATAAAATTAGAAGAATAAATATATGTGTGTGTGAATCTTCCGATTCCGCAATTAATATGCATAATCAATACATATGATTTGAGAAAATAAGTCTAAATTTAGAATTTATATTAGAATTAAAATAAATTCTTAACTAACTACAAGAAAAGGCTAGATATTCTCATGAAAGCTACCAAATTGATTATTTCACATACTTAATTATAATTATTCAACTAGTTCCTTCTCAACTAAAAGTAAGGAAGTAAAATATATATATATATATTAGTGTTTGATTGTCATTTCTTGCCTTTCGCATCCCACGATAGAATCTTTTTCTTTTTGTCTTTTTTCCCAATTAAGTTCACAATAGAATCTTGACATGGTTAATTGGTCCTCATTGTAGGTATTTCACTGTCGTAAGCAATACCTTATTGAATCAGAGAGTTCATGCACATTGAAGGGACACACGCTTGTTTCAATAAGAAACTTTAGAAGAACCAGATTGAGAAATATTCTTTAACGCTTGGCCGTATATCTAATTCAACTGCACAAGCTATCTATATTACCTATTTTATATGAATTAAAACAACTTGAAACAATGGAAAATCATCTTCTATAAATTCAAGCACGTTCATGAATGCTCATCTGATCTAAATTCCTAATTTCTCCAATCACTCGTAATTCTTCAAAGCATGAATTTTATCGCACAGATTCTTGCACTGTTATTTCTCTCTCAAGTCTATCATCTTCTTCCGATGCTTGTCATAATGATAAAACCCTAATCAGAAGCAGCTTCAGCGTCGACCTTATTCATCGAGACTCAGTTTTCTCACCATTTTACAACTCTTCTCTGTCACGTTCACAGATCATAATGAAAGCAGCGAGGCGATCGGTTTCTCGAATCAAACACTTTCGCGATCGGACTGGTGGTGGTGGTAATGGAGCTGTGATAACTCCGAACAGAGGAGATTATCTGATGAAGATGTTCATGGGGACGCCATTGGTGGAGCTTCATGCAGCAGCAGACACAGGAAGCGACCTCGTTTGGGTTCCGTGCTTGCCTTGTGGAGGTTGTGATCCCCAGAACGCGTTTGATCCTGCAAAATCTTCCACTTTCATGGTGCTGACTTGTGATTCCCAGCCCTGTGCCTCCTTACCCAGACATTCCTGCGGAAATTCAAATCAGTGCAGGTACTAATAATATATAGATCATCTGCTTTGTGATCATACGATAAATTTAACACATACACGATGAAGATGACATGATAAAAAAGGAAGTGAGTTCTGTATATATTGGAGAAGTAATTAAGTTGCAAATGACTTGAATGATATATGATGAAACAGAAGATATGATTTGTGATTTTTGGATATCACATGGTGATTTGTGTTGTGAAATGACTTGAAAATTAAAACAAAAAAAAAATATTGCCTTTGATTTTTAATTTAAAAACCTAATTAGGTTAGATTTATTTCTAAATATAAGATATTAATTTCTGTTGTTTTTTAAATTTGAAATTCTTTCTGCAAAGTATCCATATTAATTATCTGTCAAGGGAGCCGAAGAATAGTTGAATAGTTTTAAGAAGTCGACGCGCTTTAAAATATAGTACTCCTCCGGTCCTTAATATAAGACCAATTTAACTAATTTGATTACATTAAGGAAGTTAGGTAAATTAGTTAATTATAAGAAAAGTAAACACATTTTTCCTAAAACACCATAAACATCTTTATTAATACCTGATCTCCCTTTTCTACTTAATTATGGTTGAGAGAATATCTATAGGGGTAATTTAGATAAAATTGATAAATATGAGAAATGGGTCTTATATTTAGGATCAAAACCAACTCAAGAATTGGTTCCTATATTAAGGACCGGAGGAGTATTATATTCTGAAAGAAGTAATATTAAAAAAAATTTCATGCAGAAAGATGCTTAAATGTTTTAAATGTTCATTATCGGACTTTCAGGGAAAAAACTTCCCCACGAGTCAGACTAATTCTCCTGTTGATGATGACAAGCAAATATCAAAATCCACATAAGTTATTTTTCTTTTTTCTGTAATTTATGAAATGCAGAACTTTCTGCAGAATCCGATAAGTAACCTGATAATAGGGACAGGTTAAATCTTGCATGAAAATAAACGGTTAGCCACTGACGTACACAATCAAATAGGGAATTTAAATACAGTTTTAACCTTTTTATGCAAACTAACCAGTATTCTCGATCGATAGGTACTTCTATAAATATGGAGACCAATCATTCTCTACAGGAGACTTAGCCACAGACACAATCAACTTCGGCAACGCTGTTTCGTCTCCTTCAACTGTGATTGGATGTGGACACGACAATCAGTTCGAAGACAACACAGGAATCGCAGGTCTAGGTGGCGGTCCTCTCTCTCTTATTTCCCAACTCGGCGATCAAATCCGCCATAAATTCTCCTACTGTCTCCTCCCTTTCTCCTCCAACACCAACAGCAAACTCAAGTTCGGCGACGAAGCAACGACCTCTTCATCCCCAAACAACGATGACGCCATCGTCTCCACTCCTCTGTTCACCAAAACCCGACAACCTTTTACTATGTCAATCTCGAAGTGTCACCGTTGGGCACAAGACTGTTCAGACAGGTCAAACTGGAGGAAACATAGTGATTGATTCGGGCACGACGTTGACGGTGCTTGAATCTGGTTTTTACAGTGAGCTTAGAGACGCAGTGAGAGAAGCCGTTGGGGTTGAACCGGTGACGAAACCACCTGATCCGTTGGACTTGTGTTTCCGATATGAGTCTGAGATGAGGAGAAGGTCTTGAGTTTGTGTTGCATTTCACGAATGCTGATATGAGATTGCACAGTGGGAACATGTTCAGCATTGAGGATGATTTGCTTTGCTTGCTTGTATCCCCAGTGACAGTATTTCGATTCTGGGAAATATTGCTCAGATCAATTTTCAGGTGGCATTTGATCTTGCAGAACAGAAAGTTTCTTTGCTCCTGCTGATTGTACAGCTATCTAGAAATATGGGAATTCTTATATGCAAGACTCAGATCTTTGAAAGT